ATGCCTGTAACCATTCAATCAAAGGCAAACCATAGATTTGGCTGCTGCAACCATTCAATCCACCACAACCCCCCTCCCCCCTTTTTTGCATGCAACACATGTAAACTATGGGTCTTCAGTTACACAATCACAACCATAAATCTGAATTTTTAAAAAATTCTCCCTGATGCCCCTGTTTCTTGCCCTTGTAGAAACTGCATAGGGTAGAAAAATATTCCAAGGGGATAGTCAGCTTTGACTCTATTTTCTTACTTGTAGGCAAGGGAGAGAGAGGAAAATGAGCAAAAGATGACACAGGAATTCACGAAAGGATATAATTCTGTCCAGCATTTGCAGTTTAAAGTGGTACATTTATCTAAGCATCATCTTTTGTTGATAGGATTGCCTATGGCTAAGTTTTCACATCCTTTCATAAGGATGGGAAAAACATACATTCCAATTCCAATTGCTGCTTTTTGCCCCCCAGCTCAGGGCTATTCCAAAATATTTTTTTATGACAGAGGCAAAGTAGTGTTGCCCAAGATGCCGTCAAACTGAGTTTGCAAAAAATAGCTATTGGTTTTGGCCCATTGGGGGGGGGGGGGGGGAGAGTCACCAGGCCCACTCTACACTTTGAGCAAGCAAACTGCAAATTTATTAAAAGCAACACATTGCTGCTCTTTCCAGTCTCCAAACTCACCTGCCTAACACAGCTGCTTCTGAATGACTAATAGAAAGACCTAACTATGCCCATTATTAACACGTGTCCTTGAACCTAGCATGGCCAATTCTTACCGCCAGCTTTATTGCTTGCAAAAAAAAAAAGGATCCTCATTTCAGACTTTAACTTTTCAGAAACTGTACTTCTTGTGTGCTAGTGTTGTGTATTTACCAGTTGCATTTCTTTTTAACCCTATTTTCACCCCTTTAAAAAAGCCTGCAGGCTCTGTAGCCTTTTCCTCCAGCTTCCACCATGACACTACATATCTCCAGTTCCCTGGGTATTTCCCCCAGTAACACTTTTCTATCTATTGCAAGGCAAATAGCATTTTTAAAGTCTGTGATTGAACAAAACTCATCTCAGGTAGTTTGGCTGCAGTTTTACCTGCTGTCTAAGTATTCGGAGTTACAAATTGGATGGCAGAAATGACTTTTTTTTAAGAGAAAAAGTGAGTGCAGATTACCCATCTTTTCACCAAGATTTATTCTGCTCTGTTGCCTCAGTCTTTGAAGGGGAAACTTTCTCAAAAGATCTTTCTGGCTTTTCCATTCATCAACCTCTTTTCTTGTCCTGCTGCCTAAAGTACATCATGGCCTTCCTTTGCTGAAGATCTTGGCAGCCCAAAGTGGCACCTGCTGAAAGTTCTTGAATTACTTTCAGTTCCAAAACCGAATTACTTTCAGTTCCAAAAAGCTGCTGATTTTTTTTTTCTCTTCCAGTATTGGAGAGGAGTCAGATGTTTCATAATATATGCTTTAAGCTCCTGGGAACTTTATTTCCCCTCTTGCTGTGGAACAACCTTTGTTCCTTAAGGGTAGGCCACCCAGTGCAATCCAGATGTTTAGGACTATAATTCTCACAGTTCCTTGCAAATGGCCATGCTAGTTGGGAATGAAGGCAAGTAACAAAATATAATTACTAACCAGCAAGATTTGCCAAGCAAGATTTATCCCTCCCATTGAGGTAAAAGAACATGAGTTAGAAGGTAAATCTCAGTAGTGGTTCCGAGGCACGTTTAAGTTTCCAGCCCTTCCATACATTCTGGAAGACCCATAAATCCATTTTAGTTCTGTAATCTCACCATTACAGAAATAAAGGGTATTTTAAAAGTGTAGAAGGCCATCTAGCTGTAGTAATGCAGTAGTGTTGAATGTTATAATTATGAGGTCATGTTACATTAAGTTTTTCTTCCTGTGTACCGCCTAAGGTTCTTTTTGGATTGAGGTACTTTTACAAATACTGTAAACAAAAGACAAAACTGTGAGATTATTCTCTGAGACCTTCTTTTAATTCTCTTTTAACCCTTCAGGATACTCCTATCAAATTCAAGGTGGATTTATTTTCAGTGCAAGTTCTCACACTCTTATCTGGCAGCTCAAGAGGGTTGAGTTGTCTTATTTGAAACCTTGGTACTGTAGTCTTTCTCAACCTGGTAATGTCTAGATCAGGGGTATCCAATCTTGGCAACTTGTGGACTTTGACTCCCAGGCTGTTGTGTTGAAGTTGACAAGTATTAAACATTGACAAGATTGGACACCCCTGATCTAGATGGTTTTGCTCTATTTCTGTTGCTGGCCATTTTCTTTAAAACGTGATGAGCGGCAATCCACTATAACTGAAAAAAAAACACAAATTACAGAAGACTGATGTTCAGTGGAACTTCTGAGCCATGGTTTTTTTTTTTTTTTTTTTTGAAGCTCTACTTCCAAAGATGACACTGCAAAATTTTGGCACTTAAACCTCCAAATCATAGGCTATGGATTCAAAGGCTTATTAAATCTGGGGCCTTTCCATTTTTAGCTCTGAACAAGTTGTTCCCCAAAAGGTACTTGGCTCATGATGTGGAGATTCTGGACCTAGCCTTCCTGCTGGAATAGGAGAGCCTTTGCATAATGACGTTGTGTGTGCAAATTGTAGCCATTTTTGCCTCAGGAATCTTTGTCATGCAAACCTTTGTCATCTCATAAATTGCTCTATGTGTTTATGACCTTGAATATCATTCAGAAGGTTTAGCTGAAACAGCTTGTGGCTGCCAATGTAGTTTATGGGCACAATGTAATTTGCCCATGTGTCACCATTGCCTCAGGAGTATCCACTTCTGATTGCATCTTTATTTTTCAATTTGTCAAACATGTACAAGATAACAAGTATGGGTATTAACATAAACATAAACAAAAGAAGTCAATATAGATAAATTGGGACAGTAAGACAGGGAAAGTAGGCACACTAGTGCACTTATGCACACCCCCTTTAAGGACCTCTTAAGAATGGGGTGAGGTCCACGATAGACAGTTTGAGATTGAAGCTGTGAGGGGTTGAGGCTGTAACAACGGAGTCGGGTAGGGCGTTCCAGGCGTTGACCATTCTGTTGCTGAAGTCATATTTTCTGCAATCAAGTTTGAAGTGGTTTACCTTGTGTTTGTATCGATTGTTTGCCCATGTATTATTGTGGTTGAAGCTGAAGAAGTCGTTGACAGGCAAGATGTTATAGCAATTTTGTGAACTAGGCTTAGATCGGACCGCAGGTGGCGCAGTTCCAGATTGTCCAAGCCCAAAATTTAGAGCCTGGAGGCATAGGGAATTCTATTGTGAGTGGAGGAGTGGAGTACTTTTCTCGAGAAATACCTCTGAACCCGCTCAATTGTGTTAATGTCCTATATACATTGTGGGTTCCAGGAAGACGAGCTGTTTTCGAGATTTGGTCTGGCAAAAGTTTTGTATGCCCTAGTTAACAATTCAATGTTGCCAGAAAAGCTTTGTAAAATAAGGTTAACAACCCTTAAAGCCTTTTTGGCAATACTGTTACAGTGAGCTCTGGGGCTTAGAGCGTTTGAAATAAGTACTCCTAGGTCCTTAACATCTACAAGATCGCTTCCTCCTCATTTGTATTTGGTGTTCTTCCCTCCTTTTCTCTGTTTACCTGGAGATTATAAACATCTTTGGGATAGGAATCTGCCCACTTGCATTCCATGCCTATTGTAACTATGCGAGAGTGTCAGAAATGCTCTGTTTAACTATATGCTAGTTAAGTATTGATATCAATTAACTGTACTTACGTCCCAAAGGTGCTTTTTCAAAAGGCAACTGGACTTTGGTTTGAAAAACAAAGTTCAGTTGCCTTTTGAAAAAGCACCTTTTGGACCTGGATGACTGCAATCTCCATAGACATTTAACTGTACATATACTGTATATTCTTGCATTTTCAGACTTTCCTTCAATTTCCCAAGCCTTTAAGGAAGCAAGCACTCTCTGCTGGCTATCTATCAAAGTTCTGAGATACTTCAATGGGATGGATAGAACACAAGCCAACTAGCCCACCTACTGGATGACTGAAACATTTTCCACAGCTGCTTCTTCAACATTCTGGCCCACCTACTTGTGTCTGACACAGAGGACACGATAGCCATTAGCTGTTATTTTTCCAAGTACTTACAGTGTTAGGAGGCCAAGAGCAGCAGTAGCCTGAACTAGTTCAAGTTTATTTGAATTCTCTCTTTCTCTCTGGCAGGAAAGTAATATTCTTTCCTTTTGGTATTTACAGTGGACAAAACTCAATAAAAAGAACAGATGTCTGACAGGAGGACTGCAGCAAAAGCAGTCCATTTGTGCAAGTGTCACAGCCAAGCCATAGGCAGATGTAATCAAGATTTGAATTGAACGGGAAACAAACCTTAGCTAAAACCTGGAAAGTCTGCCCATTTTCAGACAAAGTTTTAAATTTAGCAGCCTTGCCAAATGCTGAAAGCCATAAGAAAGCTTTTTCTCCCTAGGGCAGGGGTGGGAAAACATTTGGACCTGAGCCCATTTCTTAAGTCACTCACAAACTGTGACGTCAAACTTGGGTGGGTAACTGTCATATTTATGGCAATGTATTTTCCTCATTGATGTTTAAATATTGAAGGGGATAAGAGTGCCAAGACTCTGATAAGCTTAGAACCCTTTTTAAACAGCTGCTCAATCCATTAAGTAGTGAAAAGCTAGAAATTCCAGCCTCATTTCCAGTGATGCCACACTGTCTTGTCATCTTGAGACTTTGGTATTGCCAAATAATTTTTTTAAAGATGGCTTTAAAGTGTAAAGATTGCCTGCCTGGGTCCAGCCCAATCATATGAGAACAGTAGTGACATATGTTTGATCTTCTAAAGTAGGAGTTCCTCACACAGCAGGATTATTGCTTGCAGCTCAGTAGTTCCCAAGTATAAAATCTAACTCCTAACCCACTATTTCCATGTATTTATTAGATGTATATCCCCTTCAGCAGTAAAACAGCATTCCCTCCTCCAGTCTTTCTCTGTAATAGCTCATCACAAAGGCAAAAGAATAGCAACAGGTCCAAAGTAATCCCAACAGGTGGACTTGAACGTGAATCTTAAGTACCATATCATACTAGATTACTGAAGGTCATTTTTGACTTCTGAATTTATACCAACCTGGGTTGAATACAAACATTTGGTACGGAAACAGAAGAAAAGGAAGAAAATCAAGAAAGGATCATTAAAATATTTATCAGCATGATCCATAATATAGGATTAACTGTAGCTGTGGTAAGATGTCTTTTTGGGGACATCTGTTTTATTAAACAAATATTGTTGAACAAACAATGCTAAGACGACAATAACCACGATACACATACCATACACCTGACAACTACAGTTCTAAAGAATTGCAAGAGCGCTCTCTTCTGTCCAGATGTTAGTATTTTTTTAATATGACAATGAAATAAGAGACATGTTCAAAAAATGGCAACTGTACCAAACAGAAGAAAAAATCTTGGGGTATCTTAATATTTTTATTGTTATGGCATGTGGTTTGGTGGAACAATATTTATTGCAATGCCATTTTTATATAAATTACACAAATAGGCCTTAACCTCATGGAATAAATCCAGAGACTGACTTCAATTATTATTGCACTGTCTCCTCTCCCACAAATCCTTTGCATTGGTGCTCTAGAATCCCCCAGATTCAGAACACAAAGGGTGGAGGGGTTGCATATACCAATGGAATTGACACATCAATGCTCACCAAATTTCAGTCTGGGCATTTCCTTTTGCTACTCACTTACTGGAAGATGGGAAACTAATCTCAATATCATAAATGTCCTGGGAATTTGAAAGATTGTGGCTATAAAATCGGACACACATTGAAATATGACCAATACAGCCAGTTCCAATATGAATTAAATGAGAAGCCTGGCCAGTTCTTTCCAGCAGTTATAGAATGTGCAATTAGGCAGTACAAGTTCTCATTAAAGTTGATGAATGTACTTCTCCCAAATAACTTCAGTGAAGTTAAAAGACTATCTAGGAATGCCTGTGAAGGTCTACCATCCTACAACAATATCTCCTTAGGACTACAGCCTTCATGAATCCTCAATTTCCAAATAAACAGGAAAAGAACATGAGGAAACCTCAATCTTGGCAATGAATAGATGGGTTGGTAGTAATGCTATTATTATTACTGAGGGATAATACCTTGAGAAAGTTTGATGACCTTGAGAAAGTTTTGATGACCTTGAGAAAGTTTGAAAACTTCTTCCACTAGAAAGGAATCTTCCACCCAACATTTATGCATAGGGATTTTTGCAGAACTTGATGTTGTTACCTAGTTTGCATAATAAGGTGTCTGCCAAAAAAACAACCAAACTCAGAGAGCACCAATGACTCCCCATTTCAGCTCTGAGCTACATTTTCCTTTTTTTAATTGCCCATTTCTAAATAGGAAGACAAAAGTTAGTTAATGCAAAATAATTTCAAAACCTTGACTTTCTACAGAATTGAAAAGGACAACAGGAAGTGCAATAGGGCCAGAGTGGGTGACTTGGCGATACAAAGAATGGCAAAGGTAGAATAATTTTAACAGCCAGCATTTCCCAGTCACATGATACCACATTCTTTCAGATTTGGAAGATTCCTCCTAACAATTCATTCTGTGGGTTCTTGGAGAGAACACCTGTAATTCCCAAGACACACACACAAAAAAACCACTAGGAAAAATAACTGAACTCTACAAAAGCCCTGCCATCCATTTTTGAAGACAATTGCTTAGGAAGCCCAGTTAAAACCAATCAGCTGGAACCATGACTCACAAAATTGCATCCCTCTCAATCTTGTGGAATTTTCCCAAATGAGAGGCTGAGAAAAGGGCTGTGTGAGTGCGTTGTGTCTGCAGAAAATGATACGTCACTCCATATCATTAATGCATCCTTGGGTAGTTCAGATATGAATTCAGTGAATTGTTCTGCTGAAGTATAGGTTTCATCCAAACCAAGAGTTTAATTTACGCTGATCCACTTTGCAGCTGCACAGTAGAATGTATAAGTGGGGCAATACTGAAGCAGATTTAGTTTAAAATGATTGCTGAATTCAACCCCATTATATGCCAGCATCACTTCACAGTAAACAGAAGAGATAGGGCAAAAGCTGGGAGAATGCAATTTACTATTCAGTTTATTAATCTAGTTCAAACAACAGCTTTGGAACTTCTATAACAAGGAAAAAATTCTGTACATTTTATCAACTAAATTAATTTACTTTATTTAAAAGACAAATTTGAACTCCTAAAATTTTGTTAAAACACTAGAAGTGCACTTAGAATACAAGGGGGAAAAAGTACTTTCAAGGATCAGGAAACCTTGCTCCTGTGAATTCCGCAAGTGACTGGCAGAAATGTTTCTACTTGTTCAAATACTGAAAGACACTGGCCTGGACCCAAGGAGCTCACATGCATGCAGAAGGCACTTTGGGGTATCTATATATGGTCAGCTTTCCCTTCTGGCTCCATCAGGGGTCATTTCAAGATTGGGAGGAGCACACAAAGGTCGGCTGTTGGAAGAGGTAACTTGAAGAAGGCCCATGATAACCCAGGCACTCTTTATTTCTTGATCAACCTCACCAGAACAATCACTAAATGATCCAGTGGAAACTCCCAAAATCCTAGCCACCGAAGACTTATTAGTCAGTGCTGAAGCATAAATTAAACAGTTCTGTCTAGAAGGCAGCATGAGCAATTGGCAGTTAAATCAAGATACCCATGCCAGATATGCTATGTCATTACTGGCTCTTGTCCATCAACTAAATTTAAAGGAATGGTCTTCCAGGAGGTCTTTCTCACATACACATTTAAGCTTCAGATCAATACCACATGAATCCTGAGCCAAATGTATATGAATCAATCTTTTTCTGGTCAGTGTACACTCAAGGTCAGCATCACATCTACTTAGTGCAAAAAGCTGCCATTGAATGCATTTAATTATGTAACAAAAGCATCCATCATCTAGCTCAGGTCTTATACATACTTGCCACTTATGGGCATTGTAGTTTTTAATTCAGAACATGTCTTGCTTGTGCCGCCCTAAAATTAAAAATTTAAATTACTTGGGACTAATCTCCAAACACTGTAATACATTCAAAAGCAATCACCATATCCCAGCAAAATCTTGTAAGTCACTTCACCATAGCAATCTTATTCCATTTATTAGTACTCTCAGTAAACGTGATGGAGTAGAAATCCACCTGCAAGTTCTCCTCTGGAGACAGTGAAGCAATACGTACACACATTTTGTCTTAAGATCGGGGCTCCCAGGTACATATAGTCAGTCTGTAGCTCCATTGTAAAGACACAGATCTTTACAATTACATATCAGGGCTAGTTGGTATTATCCCTGTTTGCCATATTTGACCTCAATCAACACATAAGCAAAATAAAATCTATTATCTTAAAAATTCAAGACCATGTGTGAGTATCAGAACTGGAATTAACCTGTATGACAAGGGTTCACAGCAGCCTCTGAATTCAGGATGTGGCAATTTGTATGGCATGATTTGTTAAGTAAATGAAATATCCATGGTCTGCATGGAAGCCTCACTTATGAACAAACAAATTTCTGCATTAGACAGCAGAGTTTTCACGAAGCGTAAGAGGCTTTAATATTTGTTATGTCTAAAGAACCAGATGTTAAGTCTGCACTATTGTTGCTATCAGATTGTTCTGAATTCTAGGCATAGAGGTAGAAATATATAAAGATGTAATCAGCTTTAGGAAGCTGGAAATGAAATATGAACCTTGAATTATTCATCATTCAGGAACCATACAATGATCTCTTCATAGTCTCTATCTCAACTCTGCATAAATGTTCAGAGTCAAAATATGTATTAAGATAAACATCACCCTTAACTATTGTACAGTCAGGAAAAAAAACAATGGCTTACTATATAGGAATTTCCAACCAGGGCTTTACATATTGCTGAAGGCTGATACCAAATCCAGCTTTGCAAAAGTAGGTATCAGATTCCTAATTTATTAGAAACGAAATCCTGCATTTGGACTGATATCTGAATCTAATAACCAGAGTTAAGTATTTAGGAAACCTGGGCTTCTAACTGATGATCTATGTCAAACAATATAATAACACTAATTAAAATAAAGGTGCTAATACATTAGAAATATTTGTAGTCTCCTGACTACAAGCATTCAAATCTGAAACAGATATAAGAAAAAAACATCCAGAAATGAGTAAAAAAAAAGGACCTTGGAGAAGATGAACTTCAACAGAAAGTCCATTAGAAAAAACCAAAATTAGAAATATGAAGACAGGAATAAGAACCATGGGAGAGCCTTCAGTTTAAGTTTATGTGTGCCAAAGCATCTTGGAGGAAGTCATGTCTGTGGTCTTTTCTCACCAATGGAAGCCAAGTATTAAGAGTACTTCTTGCTTTTTTCATTGATCCCTCAAGGAGCGCAATAGGACTTGGGCCATCATATCATCTTCATCAGCATCATAATCCTAAATATAGAAGACATAAATATGCATCAGTGGACCAATTTTGACTAATCCAGAAACTGATCACAGCTGCTCAGAGGAGGTTTGGCTGGAGTCGCATGAAAGACAAACAAAAGAACAGGTGCTTTACCTGAGCTTCTGTCATCAACTTATTATCTACAGTAAATAAAAGTTTGGAAAGGCTCAGGACCTAGCTCACTAGCTGCTTTTTATATTGAATGAATTATGACAAGCCATATTTTAAAAAAGCAGTCTATTTTCAAATTGGTAGAACAAGTCTAATCAGAAATTAAAAAAAAATATTTTGCTGCTCTAGGTTTTGTACAATAAATTAAAAACCCAATTATAACTTACCACAAATGTATCGTATGAAAACTGATGGCGTCGCTGAAGATGTTCCATGAAGTTAGCGCTTCTATAATGTGGATCTCCCCAGGGCATCGATGCACAGATTGGGCAAACCTGGAAAAGTTGGCAAAAAAAATTACACTTCAGTTTTAGTATCTCATTGCCATGCATTCTATATCCTGTCCATCAGCAAGGAGGCTACAGAAGTCCCTTAGATTAAAAGAAGTTCTGTCCTTGAAAGTAATGCTAAATTCTCCCAATATTAACTGCATAGTTCCTCAGGATGTTGCATTATAGAGGTTGAAAATTTCCAGAATGCTCCATTTCGTCTCCAGACTACCGGTATATGAGCTGGCCACTCCAGGGGAGGGACAAATGATATTTCTAGAAAACCAGCAACTACTCCTAAAATTGAGAAAAATATGTAGTCCAAAAGAAAAAGAGCTTTCTGGAGTCCTCAGAAAGTTCCATCCCTGAATTGTAAGTTTTACACATTTCTCGCTCATTTTCATCAGACACAAAGATATTGTGCACTCTCTTCTCTCATCTCATTGAGTCTCCCAAATAAGTATTTGGGTGGCCAATTTCCTAAATGTTTCTTGAAATAAAGATCAACATATTTAGCAAATCATGTTGTTCCTTTGTTAACATATTTAGGGATCTGAATTCATTATTCAAAAATAAAAAATTTGCTCTGAGATTATTAACCCCCTGCTTGAAAGGCTTCAAATGTTTTCTATATGGTTTTAAAAAAACAGCCTTATCATTAAAAAGACTAAAACATAATTCAAGAAAACCTTTGAGACAATAACATAATTTTCCCTAATGCACAATTTTTCCTGGGAAGCCACAGTCTGATTTTTGGCCTGTAAATGACATGACTGGTAATGTTATGACATTTCCAGAGAAAGGGGCCATTTTTAAAAATCTGTTCTTGGATGTATGGGTTTTTAAGGGTGAAAACGGGTGCCTAAAAAATTTACAGAAGCTGCTTGCAGCAATTTTGTCACTTAACCCCACCAAATCTTAAAACCTTGGCTTGATTTGAAGTAGATTAGAAGATTCTATGGGGTAATATGGCTACCTTAAATCTTTGCAAAGTTTAAGGCATCTGTTTCACTTCTTAGAGTTCCCCAAAGCAAAAAAGGTTAAACTTTTTAGCCCTAACCAACTTTAGGGACCACAAATGCGATGCTGGGAGATCAAGTGCAACCTGTGGATTGCTCATCTCTGAATCAGACTATGCCATGAAAAAAGCATTACTTACCACTCGCTTTGGATCGTTACTATGATAGCTTTTGCAGTGTTCTACCAGTCCTTCTTGGTCCAAGTTTTTTTCATTACAATAAGGGCAAGGAAATGTAAATCTATTGGGGACACTCCTGCAGGAACACAGAGAAAAGGCCGTTACATTTTAGAAAAAAGTACATAAAGTAAAAACACTGAAGAACAATTGGTGAATATATAAAAAGCTTTTTCCATAAGATTACTGTTTCTTAGTTTGATCAGAGCAAAAGTTAACTTGTCTGAGAAAGAGGACTGATGGCAATTATGGTCAGAAGTCTTTCACAAATAGATTTATACTTCTCTCATTCTCACGGCCCATGTGAGCCTGATACAGAAAAAGCCTTAAAGTGAGCAATGGCTATATAAAATTTCTCAGGTTGCTCACAAAAGCAATTAACTTGTATTTTACAGAGCATTCTAGACTACAGGTGTTAAAAATTAGAGGTTCTTTTGGAGGAACATTTTCAGTATTAAACCTAATTATCTTGTATAAACTTTCAAAGGGAAAAACATCAAGTAGGCCATGAATTCAAGGTAGCAAGTTTGGGAGGAAATTCTGGTCATATATTGGAAATGCACAATCATCAAACCACTTCCCATCTTTTGTTGCTATTAAAATGAAGAGTGGTTGGCAGTAAGGGTTCAGATGGGAAAAAAGAAGACATATCCCATACTTTCAGGAGATTTCTCTCGAATCATTTGTTCAAGATAAATACTAGCACACAATTTAAACTTTCTAAACAGGCATAGTGTAATTCACCAAGATTACCTGGTATTCTGTAATGGTTCTTTAGTCACAGCTTTAACACCTTCCATTATGTAATTCTGGTACTTTGAGCAAGTAGCTACATGACTTCGCAGCTTTGAGAGATACATCTGTACAGAAAATATAACAAAATATTCACTTTTCATCATGTTCCTTAACTTAAACCCAAAGTATATACAGGGGAATGTATGGGAGAATTTGAAATCACCAAGGTAAGACACAATGCAAATTACAATGTATAATTATAGAAGAGAATAACAGGCTAAATTAATCTGTAACATGCCAGCAAGGCTTAGATAGCTGTCACCTTGTTCACCTGAACAGAGTTCATTCTTAACTTTCTCATAGCTTATCTCATAGCTTATCTTTCTCATAGCTTATCTGGCTATATTATCTGGAAAAGAGAACATTTTCTCTATTACTACTCTTATAAGGCAAATTACATTATTTATCTTCTACAAAGCAAAGGGCAGTCAACTAGCCAAAACATCAACTTATCTAAATTTTGCACCATTAACAGGATCTCAATAATCATGCTGCACAGTTATAAGCAAATGTCCAAAAAATTATGGTACATGTTTTAGTGTTCTTCAACTTTTACTATGTCTGCTTACTTTTAACATTTTTTAAAATAATTCTGTACTCAGAAAGCAGGAAATAATTAACTCCCAAATCACATAATCCTCACTGAATTTTCCACATATAATTTGCTTTAAAAATATTTAAGCAAATTTTTGACCTACCAAATTATTTCAAAGAATATTAATATTTATAAGTAAAAACTAAGATATTCACAGTATCCCAATATATTTACAAATATTCAATGCCAGGCAGACTTATAAGTTTAGAAATATAGGCATATCTCTAAAATTTGCATTAGACACTGAATCAATATTGCTGATATTATAGCGAGATAGCTATGAGTTCCCACAAAGTTCATAGATTAGGGTACAGCATATTAAGCCTGCCCCTGTTATTTCCTGAACTGAAATGTATTAACTGAACTTTTAATTGCAAAACTTTTTTTACAATGGTTGCTTCAGGGAATAAGGCAATTCCTACTCATGAAAGAACATTAGTCCAAAACAGCCACAAAAGTGTCAACCTCTGTTAGCTGCTTTGGAGGGGGGGGGGGGGGGAACGGACACACAGCATGTTTCTGGGCATCACAAATTGAAAAGGACTGTAACAAACTGAAAGAAGCTCAAATATGGTAAAGAATCTGAAAATCAAATCCTACAAGGTGCAGTTAAAGAAATTGGGAAGAGCCAGCTGAGGTTATATACAACAGCAATCTTCAAGTATCTGAAAATTAGCTGACATCTAGAAAAGTAACCAGAATTATTAGATTAAAAAAATCCAAGGAAGTTTGTTCATGCTACATAGGAGGAGAAATTTCTGACTGTGTAAACTATTATTGGAAAAAGCTGCCATATTAAGTCTATTAGTTTTCACTGAAGGTTTTCATATATAGTCTTTTGTCAGAGATGCTGTAATGGATCCTGCACTAAGTCAGGGTTTGGATGAAAGGTCTTCTAAGGTCATTTCTATGATTCTATGATTCCTTAAAAATGTCACACCCACATATGTACATTTTAACATTGTTATTTTTTTTTTAAAAGCTAAGGGCACATTAAATCAATACTTTCTATGAACATTTTCTTTCTTAAAGAAAAAATGAACAGTGACACAAGGATTTGCATAAAGTTTTCATCATTTTCACAGCGGTGTTGGTAAACACAACCTTCAACTGTCTGTTGTGGCAAGGTCTGCTGATTCTATATTTTTACATAACTGATTGGTCTTATAATAAGCTCTGCAAACTGTTATTTCCAATGCACTAGTAGAGGCAATGGAAGAAATAAAGTCCCCTTTTGGAATTTCTTTCAGATTTGAATTGGCTCTTCCCCATCCCACAATCTTTTTTGAATTCTCTAACAACTGCTTATCAGGACAGAGTATCAGTATACTTATTGCATCTGTATTCATTCTATATAGTCATAAATATAGCTCAGTTTTTCATACTTTTTGATTGCAGCCATTGCAAGTAGTCTCTGTCATTTCAATTTGCTTTTCCAAATCCAGAGCTCTGCTGCCATGAGACAGGGTACTGCGGCAAACTCCACAAACAGGCTTTTTAGGCTTAAGACATTCTTGAATGCACGGCATGCAAAAACTAACACGGAAAAAAAAAGAACTTTCATTGATTAAAAATACAGGCATCTATTAATTCTCTTCCACTCTCCCAATAAACTAAAATAATTGAAAAGCATACCTCAATGCACTACAATGTAATCTTAAATGGAAAAAAAAGCATCTTAAACCAAATTACTATTTTAAGTATCCAGAAAAATTGCTTACAGCTTCATTAACAAGAGTAGTATACTTAACTGCGCAGTGTGCACTGTAAGATAGAAATATGTTCAAACAATAGTATTATAATTTTTTATATATAAATTTTTATATTTTTATATATAAATTCAAACAATAGTATTATACAATAGCAAGAACTGAATCCTGTTTTTTAGCAGCATTTTAAAATAAAATAGCTCAGCATAAACTTCATTAAGAATGCATATATCTAACAGGGTTTGAAGTAGAAACTTCGATGCTGGTACTGCAATACAGATTGTCTTCTAATCCACCCAGTCACCAGGTTCAGAGACAATTACAAAGTCATAAATGTTAAAACATTGCAAATGCATATAATTAACCAGGTAAGGAAAGATAGATACACACCACAATCCCAGTATACCTAAAACACCTAATAACAAATTATAGCAGAGAGAAGAGAATATTAAAGTCTTGAAGTACCTGAGGTTATATCATTTGTATGCAATTTACAAATTACCAATAAAGATGAAAGTGATCTTAGAAAATAATTCTGCTGCAGAATTAGGCAAAGTTCTGAGTACAATATTAATGTCTGGTTGATATTTGATAATATATGGCGTTCAAAAGAAGAGCTGTGAAGGCCTAGAACAAGATGTAGTTTCTAACCTATCACATCCAAAATATTTATGACCATGACCATACTGTACATACATTAACAAAAAAAAGCTGCATTCAGGTGGAAGAAAAACAACATCCTACCTCAACTGGCAGCTGCTCATTACCAAAGCTGTAAAAATAGATGCCACCTCTTTGAAAAATTCATATGTCATCCTCTCAGGAATATACAAGGATGAATTTACAGGTAGCCCTTGACTTACACCTGTCCATTTAGTGACCGTTCAAAGTTATGGCATTGAAAAATATGACTTATGACCATTTTTCAATTACGACCTTTGCTGCATGCCCATGATCATGTGACCAAAATTCAGATGCTTGGCAACCGATTCATATTTATGACGTTTAATGTGTGCAAGGGTCATGGGATCACCTTTTGCGATCTTTTGACAAGCAAAGTCAATGGGGAAGCCACCTTCACTTACCAACCAGGTTACTAACTCAACCAGTGATTCACTTAACTGTGGCAAGAAGTTGTAAAATAGGGCACAACTCATTTAACAAATGTTTCACTGAATAACAGAAATTTTGGGCTCAATTATGGTCGTAAGTCAAGGACTATCTGTATCTGTCTTGTCAGTTCCTAAATGCTTAACAATCTAGTCTAGGCTCTGTGTATCAGTTCTGCCTTAATGACCATAATATGCAAAAAGCCCTTGCTTAGATAAAATATGATAAATCCAAAACTAGTATTATTCATTTTACTTTACTTCTTTCAAACTGCTACTGTATTAGGCCATTCTAATTCCAAGGCTCCACTACAAATAAGAATTATAGAGCAAATTCATCATCTGTTCTTGTTTTCATAATCTCTGAAGAATCTTTAAATAGACTCTATTCAACCACTATATCATTTTATGCTTTATCTAAATTGCATTCGGTCACACCTAAATCAAGGGGAGATATGAGAGCTCTTATTTTTCCTTTCATTTTAAATGTCCTTTCTTTGGGATGTTGTCTCCCAAGAGATGAATTGTATTTTGCTTCCTGCAAACTTATCTGCTGAATCTTTCCTGTTCCTAATGGCTAACAATGAAAGCCTCAGCAAGATGTAAACAGAAAATAAGTATTTTGAATGTTTCAAAGGCATAATGAACAGATAAAACAAACCCCTCCCATTTATGGCGAGATAAAATAAAAATTAGCACGGAAAGCCGTCTCCCTCTCAAGTTTATTCAATCGTTTTGTCCTCTATTTTTATCTCAAAAAAAAGTGTCAATTACAGAATTTCAGTGGAGTGACTCAGGGATTGAACGCCTCTTCGCTTTTAAAACTTTTGCACAGAAATTCTGGTAAAAACAAAACATTACTGGTGGTGTTTAAGATTACATGAGCAAAAAAACTTCCCATCTAGCCACTAAGGAGCCGGCTCGCCCTGGATTCTGCCCACACGTTCATTTCACTTTCGTTTCATGAAAATAGCAACAGCTTCGCCCCCACAACCAACAGGCTGCAATTTTTGAAAGTTCGGGTACTTTACAGTAATATCTAAAGAGAGATAAACGGGGCTGCAAGGAGTTAAACATTTACACAGCTTATTAATTTATTACCCAAAGTTAAACATAGGAGAAGAAGCAAAACCAAAACCATCCGGTTAGAAAACCGTAGATGATCAATTTAAAATTGCTCTGGTTTTAAGGGGCTTTTTATAACACTTTCCTTCCCCTCCCCCCCTCCCCCGGGCCTAGCTCTTCCTAGACCCGCTGAAGTTCCACCAACCCCAGCCAGCAAGCCCAAGATGCTAAGATGGGGAAGATGGGGACCGAGGTCCATGTATTGGGAGAATACCAGGCTGGGGGTAAAGTTTTTTCCACTCGTTTTGTGCCTCATACAAGCGAGCTCCCCGACTCAACCTCAATTCCGACCGGCCACTCTCCGTTGCCATGGTTACCCAGTTATCTCACTCGACCTCCCTTGAGGTGGCCTGGCTTCCGCCTCCTCTTCGTACTTACATATGACCGCAAGGCGCCCGCACGGGGCTCTCAAACACCTCCAGGCACACCGGGCAAGTGAAGCGAGAAAGCGGATCCACGCGTTCCCCGGTCGCACCCTCCGGCAACCGAGCACCGGCCTCGGCCAACGCCATCTTCCAGAATGACTTCCGCGAAGCCACTCTGGCAGCCTCACAGACGAACTATCACGAAACTACAGACGACGACGGCGACCTAAAAGGGCCAGAACTAGTTTGGCCACGCCCATCACGCACGACAGCTGAAAAGTGCGCAGGCGCACGCGTAGCGTTTGAGGTCAAGGCGGAGGTTTGGAAGAGCGGCGCGCGGCTGGTTAGAAATCAAGATAGGCTAAAAGCTGGTGGGGGTGGGCAGAGAAAGATGTCGAAGTGGATCACGTGATATAGAGATAAGACAGAACGGACGGAGAGGATCTAAACTCGATTCAGTGAGCTTCTCCATGTCATATAATATATATGGGTATATGCATAATTTTGTATTTATTTTGTCATGTTTATGTAATGTATATTGGATGTGGAGACCCTTTGAGAGCTGTATGCAAAGAAATTTCCTTTCCTTTTTTATTTTGTCATGTCTATGCAGTGTATATTGGATGTGGAGACCCTTTGCAAAGAAATTTCCTTTTAATGTATGCCAATTAGTGTACGTTTCAAAGTGACAAAGTTCTAAATCTAAATCTTCTGTATTACCAGCTCATTTCAACAAATCATGATAAAGTTTTGCAGGATGTGATGAAAACAAAATTCAACCACTTAATGGTAGGATCCTTGATTAAGCAACAGGCTTAATCAATACAAAACAAAAACAACAACTTTCACAACTCTGTCTCTCTATGTGAGAGAGGTGGGTAGTGGTAGAACCCCAGGGACCTATGGGCTACACAGGTTGTAAATCAAGCAGAGGAGACATTCAAGAGTTACAATGTGGATGATTTAAAGCAACCAAGTGGATCAGAATGGCATATACACCCCCAGGCCACTAATCACAGGTATTGAGATTGGGTCAGAGCTCAACAGAGTGGGTAGAATCTGTAATCCTTGTAAATTTGTAATCTGTAATCCTTGGGTGGAAAAACTTTACTCCAACCCTAACCCTAACCCCAGCCATGTATTCTCCCAATGCGCTGGACTTCATCTTCCACATCTAGCATGGGCTTGCTGGTTGGGATTGGTGGAAGTTCAGCATGTCTAGAAGAACTAGGCAGGGGACAAGTGTAGTAAAAAGCCCCTTAAAAGCAGAACAATTTTTCACAGTATTAAAATTTGGACATTCTTAGAGATTATTTAAATATTCAACATTTGTCTTTGGCCTCAGGGAAAACAGCACTTAAAATATCCAAAAGGGATGTTGGATGTTTTCTTGTTATCAACTTAAAAAGAGATGGATAATGTGTTAATTACTTATGATGTTACTTGTGTGGTTTTAAGTGTTTTGTGCAGAATGATAATATCAATCTGTCAATTGATCTGTTCTAAGGACTTAGTCTTTTGTACTTTCTGATGCAAGAAGATAATATAAACAATGATGGCATTGCTTTCTCACATTTTTCATTTATATAACAGAATGTTGATTGTATTGAAACAAATATATCTTTTCTCCCAAAATTCGGCTTTTACTTCTGAACTATGGATAAACTACAGAAGTTGAAATTTAGGTTGTGAAAACAACATTAAATTCCTTCATATTGTCCTTATCATTTGCAGATCTCCAATAATTTCTGCCTATTTTTATAGCAATAACATGAGGCAGGTGTGGCGAGGGATTCAACAAATTACAAACTATAACTGACCAATGTCAACCCTGCTGAGGGGGATGCTTCATTGGCAGAGGAACTGAATCATTTATTTGCTTGCTTTGAAGTGGAGACACCAGAGACAGGTAAAATACAACTACCAGCCAATTGTAGCCCTCACCTCATTGTGGAGGAACAGGAGGTGAGGAGCATTCTGAGGGCTGTGGACCCTAGAAAGGCTGCCGGTCCTGACTGTATCTCTGGCCAAGTGCTTAAAGACTGTGCTGATCAGCTGGCTGGAGTCTTTACCAGGATCTTCAATTGGTCTGTATTCCAGTCCACTATTCCATCTTGTTTGAAGGTTTCCACCATTGTTCCACTGCCAAAGAAGTTCCCTATCAATAACCTCAACGATTACAGATCAGTGGCACTCACTCCTATCATCATGAAGTGCTTTGAGAAATTGGTCTGCCGGCACATCATTTCTTCCGCATACATAAACACCAGTTTGCATACAGGAAAAATACATCTACAGAGAATGCTATAGCCATCACTCTTCATACTACTCTGAATCATCTAGAACAGGGGTCCCCAACCACCGGGCCCCGGACCGGTACCGGTCCGTGGAACATTTTCTACCGGGCTGCCGGTTTGATGGGTGCCGCCATCTTGTTTTGATGAGAAAGTGCTTCCGGTGAGCTTTTCCGGTTGGAAAGCGGCGTTTGGGTCCTGAAGGAATCCTCGCGCCTTAATTTCATTGAAGGGGGGGGGCGGCTTCGAACAAAACTAAGGCGCGAGGATTCTTTCAGCACCCAAGGCAAGGCGAGCTGAGCAACCGTCCCGAAGCTGTCCCGAAGCCCATCGACAAAGGTACAAAGGAGGAGTTGAAGGTGGCAGGGAGAAGCGGGGGACGGCTGGCTGGCCGGTCGCTCGGCTCACCTTGCCATGCGTGCTGATGTCGGTACCGGGCCGCGGATCATTTTGTGATGCCGGTACCGGGCCGTGGCACAAAAAAGGTTGGGGGCCACTGATCTAGAACAGCGGGGGGGGGGGGGGGCTATATGAGGATGCTTTTTGTGGATTTTAGTTCTGCATTTAACACAATTCTTCCACATAGACTAGTGTCTAAACTTCTGGACCTAAGGCTTTCTAATTCAATCTGCTTTTGGATAATGGATTTCCTGTCTGGCCACTCACAGAGGGTCAGATTAGGTAATCATACCTCTTCAGCCTGTATTTTTAACACTGGTACACCGCATGGCTGCATGTTGAATCCCTTACGCTGTACTCTTTATGGGCATGACTGCATTCCCACTCACACTAGTAATATTATTGCTAAATTTGCGGATGATACAACAGTGGTGGGACTTATCTCCGGGGGGGGGGGGAGTCTGCCTCCAAGATGTGGTGGACCGGTTGCTTTTGTGATGTGGAGACAATAACTTGGTCTTCAACACCAATAAGACCAAGGAGCTTATAGTGGATTATAGAAAGAAGAGATCAAACATCCAGCCCTTGCTTATCAATGGAGACCGAGTGGAGCAAGTGGCCAGTTTTAAGTTTCTGGGTGTTACCCTTAAAGAGGACCTGACCTGGGGTGCCCTCATTGCAGTCTGGTCAAAAGGGCCCAGCAGAGTATATACTACCTGAGACTTCTCAGAAAACAACAACTGAATGAAAAACTGCTGGTGACCTTCTACCGCTGCACCATAGAGAGCATTTTAACATACTGCACCTCTGTATGGTTTGCCAATTGCACAGTGGCAGATAGGAAAGCACTCCAGAGGGTTAATGTCATTGCCTAGAAGATCACTGGTTGCCCTCTCCCCTTTGGAAGAGCTTTATAGCTCCCGCTGCCTTAAGAAAGTTCAAAACATTCTCAAAGATCCATCTCATCCTGGGAACCCTTTTTTTGAACTATTACCATTTGGCAGACAGTACAGAATAATAAAAACAAGGACAAATAGGCTGAAAAACAGCTTCTATCCCAGGGCAGTAGCTCTTTTGAATTCTGTAAAGTGCAGTGTTGGTGTGGTGTCAGGGGTTTCTGGTTCAATGTGCGAAGGGTGAAGGATGTGTGTTTGTGTTTATTTTCATGGTCATGGTCATGATGTGCACTGAAGATGGTGTTTGATTTCATTGTACGAGGTGCAATGACAATAAAGTAAACTAAACTAAAGTTGTCTGTATGAAACTCAAGAAAGATACTGTCAGCCAATCATTGCTCAATCCAAGCTAGTAAATGGCCAGGGGTAAGGAACATCAGTCTTACTCTATCAAACTGGCCTCTCACTCAATATATCTAGTGCTCCAATAATCAGAGTCCTCCTTTCACACACCTGTACATTGTCCACATGCATTTGTGTACATTTCTCTAGTGGTTTGTGAAATAATCCTTTTGACAGAAAACAACTGCATGAGAAGACTGATTAAGACCATTGCCAAAGGCAGAGAGGAATGTAAAAAGCATTCTATTCACCATGTTTCCAGAACAGGACTGGAGACAGAAAGAACTGCATTCTAATAAGTACTGCAGAGTGTACTATCAGAATGCATCCCAGGACATTCCCCAGCAGCAGAATTGCATTTGAGGACTTGTCCCCTTCACAAAAATATAAAGTTACAGTATGTTAAAAAATACCATATGCATACAACTGCTGTATATAATTACATTGTGTATTTTTCTCTTAATTCTCTAAACATTAACAGACTGGGTTCACACAGTTAATATGGTTGACTTGTTTCTGATTCAACACTATTCCTTACTCTAAGTGCAAACTATGATATTTTAAAAAACCCCAACAAAATATGCATTGACACAAACCTGTATTTTCATGATTGCATCCCAACATCAGATCGAAATACATAAATTAAACACCTTGCACTGTAATATCACAATGCATATTGTCATTAGTGTAACTCAGTGATTCCTGGTGTGATATATTGTTTTCCTCATTACAATTATTTTGCAAAAAGCTAAGTGGTTGACTCCAGAAGATAGTGTAAGCTGTTACCACAGAAATATTTTTTTTCTGAAAAGGGCATCCATATTATTTTTTCACAGAAAAAAATATCAAGAGCCTTGCAGACCTTCACCCACTCTTTTTCCATCTTAGTACTATTAGATATTGGACTGCAATTCTCAGGACTGTTGGAGAAGTCCACAGAAAGTGAGTTGGTGTCCCGGAATTCCTTTTTAACTGGCCATTCTTAGCTAGAGTTGCTGAAAACTGAAGCTCTTATCTGCTCCTCTTATAGGACGATTTAGGAAACTCTCAGGAACGTAGGCGACAATGCATCCTTAGTTGTCTTGGATAGTCAACGCTTTACATCCGTTCAGTTTGGAAAGCAAATGCAGCAAGAGCGGGCACCGATTGGAAAATCATACGCATGCGCCTTACGCGTGTGTCATCCGTGTCAGTACCTCCGCGAGCCCTGGGAAATT